GCAGTGTTTCCAAGTAAGGTTGAAACTTTATTACTAAGCAAAAATCTCACATACGAAAATTTCGTTTCAGTGGCACTTTAAGAAGCAAAGCTATTAACAACTCAAGTCAAAATCGTTTAACTACCTGCTAATAACAATCTCTAAAAAACAATAACATAACAGAGAACAGGTGGATTTCTGGCCGAAACAGGAAACATAACGGAAGACGGAGAGGAGGGCATATTCGTGACAACTGCTTAGCACAGTCATCAATTATTTATTTTCAGGACGGTGTAACAAATTCGAGCATTTACAAGACCAGAAAATAAGTTGTAAGAGGCTTCTTCGTTTTAACGCTCGAACATACCTCTTATTTCGAATTGGCAAATATTCAAGGTAAGACGTTTTTCGTGCATGATACGACGAACATTTTATTTTATTTATTTATTTCTATTGTAGTACCATTTTGTAGGCGTTTTAGCGTCAGGGCGGGTTGTTACGAAAACATAATCGTTAACAAGCCAAAAACACAAATATTTATATAATACTGAGAAAGTTCCTTTTGCCGAACTGTTTTAGAGTTTCATAAAGGAAATTTTCCCGTTGGGGTTCTTCAAATTCACCGGCATGTTAGAGAAAAATTTCCAACCTACTATTACACAATTCACTTCTTGTTAACATGAATTTGGTTTTAGCTGAATTTACAGCAAACTTCTGTCAGCATTTTACATCATATCAAGTTGAACAAACTTAAGAGATACCATAAGGAAATATATTTTGAAAATCAATCTTTATAAATATCGAGCAAGCTGTTTACAAACGCCCGCGACTCGATCGAGGCTCTCAAGCCGTTGGTATTGTCTGCCATAACCAATTGGAAATGTTCTTTATTGAAATAACACAACTGTTTGCACAATGGATGCATGGCTTCCTATTGAAAATGTGTAATTTGTAATCATCAGAATTCTACAAGAAAAGATGGCATGAAAATATTTGTTTTGCACGCAGAAAAGAGCTGTTGCTTCCGCGAAGCAGATTCGTGATGATGTGATGTTTGTTTTGGCGGAAAAAATAAATAAATAAACGTTATTTCTAATTTATTGCACTGAAAATCATGGCATTAGAGAAGGGTTCTAATGTTTGTAATATCCAGACATTGGACTGCTTCGCTTGAAAAAAATAACTCGCCGAAACCTATTATATTAATAAAAAAAATAGTTAAGGAAAACCCTTCCATTTAGTTTAACACATGCCAAATGAATAATGTAGGCCAGTTTCTACAGAATTTAAAGTTATTGGGTTCAAGTTTTGCCTATTACTACTAGACAACTGTCTGACAGATTGCATAAACAACGATTCCAACTGGCTAGTTTCGTTATTAACCCGTGAAAGCTTTAATAAAGTTTTCATGGAAATATATTGACCCGTCCTTTAAATATTTACGTCTAGTGGGAGAATTCACACTCATTATACCTCGAGGGACGAAACTTGTTGTACAAAAGTGGCGATTTTTTCGCCCGATGATCAGACATATGTCTACAACATTAAAATCTGTTTGCTTTGGCACGGAAAGTTTTCACCTTGATGTTTGACTGCGAGAAGATCTTGTTGATGAAGTTGGCCTAAGTATAGAAAAATCTAGACACTTGAAAATATATAATACATAGCTAGGAGATGGCAGGTGGATCAGTTGGGGATAACTGTCAAGTTAATTCAGTTATTGTTGTGGATCTTATCAAGTTAGACATTTTTTAACCATAGCAGTAAACATTGAATGCAAACTTGACACCATTTCTACAACAACGGAGTAAACTTTCTCGCTTTAATGTAGCATCACCCACTGAGGTACTGAATATTTGTACGCTTTTCACGCAAAAGGCGTTTTATGAAAGCAGGGCCGCGAAGGCACAGCTTCTATCACATACTCAGTCTTTCTCCACAGAAACTTCATGTAGTTCGCTGACGTTCACCGTATATTCTTTATCTCGTAGGATGGTTTTGTATTCAAGTTCTGACAATCAGGAGCAATCTTTCCTGCCCTCGATAGCTGACGACAATAGCTCAAAGCGTAAACACAAAGCAAAAAGTGGCACAAAGAAAAAATATTTGCGTCAGAAGAAACAAAAAGATGTTATAGTTCACTTTCCTGAACTCGCGACGAAAAACTCGTCGAAAACAGTCGCTAGGAAGTCTTCATCACCGAAGGTGACTTTTCAAACGCAAGAAATGTTAAAAACACGACAAAAAGAAGCTACTAAACCAACCAAGCTCGAAAAACGACGAGGCAATTTACGTTTGCCTTCGGTCGCTTTAACGTCAACATCGGAAGGTGTTACAAGTAAACCCACCGAAAGCTGGAGTGCTGCGTTGGGTTTACGCGATACTTACGAAATTCCTCGAGGTCTTTTGAACAAACTGACCGACGAGATACTCAAAATCGACAGACAAATGAGAGAAGAGGCTAAAATACAGCGGATCAGAGAAAACAGGATGATCTCTTCGGAATGGGGGCATTCGATAGAGCCAAAACATTCTTATTTCGAAGGCACGTTTGAACGAACTTCGCGTCAAGGGTTCTCCTATTTTCCTTGTCTTCAGAAGAGGTCTGTGGATCAGAGCTCCGATTCTATGCCACCGCATTGGGCAGAAGATAAAATGCGAGAGAGAATGACTCGCCACGAAGCGGAAATTGGAAGAAAACTGAGAGAATTTAAACACCGCCATTCGCTTTTGAAGTACAAAGACTGATGCATTGAATTTAAACACCACCATTTGCTTTTGAAGTACAAAGACTGATGTATTGATTTGTGTTAATTGAAGCATTTTTGTCAGCGGAACTATTGCTAGCTATCAATAAAGTTGTTAATCGCTAACTGCTAGTTAAATTTATTTATTTATTTATTTATTTATTTATTTACAAATTTATTTCACATTTGTTATAACTTTGATACTTTGCAGTAGTTGCCATGGAAACTAATCTTCGATCTCACTAGTAACGGACGGAGGAGATCTGGGTCGGGTACTAAGAGACCTCAAAGAAACGCCGATATCCAAGCAACTCCAAAACCCTGATCTAACATTATTTAACATTATTATTGACATCAGGAATATCTCAAAGGCTCTGACGCTGTAGCATGTAACGATTGAATTCTTTCTTGGAAGACATGCATGCCGCTGAGGTGGGCTTTTACAATTCTATTTCTTAGCAATCTCACTGCACACAGTCACGCAATTTGTTAGAAATGGGTTTGGTTTCCTGGTCCATCTGATTTAAGTCACGCTTTATACCTCAGATGTAGGAGGCGCGGTGGCTTCATGGTTAGTGCGCTCGACTCCGGATCGAGCGGTCCGGGTTCAAGCCCTCGCCGGGGACATTGTGTTGTGTTCTTGGGAAAGACACCTCACCTTCACAGTGCCTCTCTCCACCCAGGTGTATAA